TTTTTTGATGAGAAAATATTGATAAGATTATTCGTTTTTGGGGTAGGGGTTTTTCCGAAAGAAAAAGCTTATTTATAAAAAAGCTTAATGACGCAGATCTGAATCTGGAGAGATTTTTTTGACTTGAGGTTGTTGCATGTGAAACGAGATCTCCAAAACGGTACTTGTTTGAGTTTTCCAATTCATCGTAAATGCATATGCATGCTAATAAATTTATGATTCTTTCTCATGTTTCCCATTCTTTCCTCTTCGACTCCTGTCAAAACGCGCTTCCGCCAATTTTCTCTTTCTACAGAAACCTAAAAAAACACAAACACCCATTCACAGAATCACATTCTACAATCATGGGAACAATATACTCTCTACTAGGCTACACATCCGACCAACAACCACAACAACCTCAGCCCCAACAACCAACCGGATCCCAACTCCACCAAAAACCACCAACTCACCTCTCATCCGCCGACTTTCAACCAAAACCCCCCGCCAACGCAACAAAGAATAAGAATGTTAACAAGAACGGAATATCAAAGAGTAAATCAACAAACGATATGTTGAAAAGTAAATTAAAACGGAATAAGGATATCCGGAGTTTAGTTGCAAGTAATAAAATTGTTATTGGTGAGCCGTTGAAGGAGACGTTTCGGGTGAGTCCGGATTTATTTGTTTTTTTTTTGTTAATTGAGGAGTTATTGCGTATTGATTTTTTTTTTGTTTTGTTTGCTTTTGAAAGCATTGTCAACATATTGGAGCTGAAGATGTTCGAGCGAATGGAATAGACGTTAGTTTTTAAATTTCCGATTTTTTACTCTTTATAATTTAATTTTGATCTCTTGACAGTCAATCGCACCCGCAAAATCATAGTTTATGACCTTAGAAATCGTTTATATTTATTCATAAATAAATTGAAAAAATCCCTCATTTACTACATCACCAAAAATCCAGCATCCAAATATCACAAATTCCATGTATCCTAACTCACCTCTATCACCTCCCGCACCTTCTCAAACAACACACCAACCAACTGCACAATCTCGCCATCATCCCTATACTCCACCATCTCTTTACAAAACTCCACTACATCCTCCACATTCCTCACCGTCCCTCTAACAGAAAAGCACGCTAGGAATCCCAACACTATCGCGTGTCCGATTGATTTTTCTCTGGTGATGGGTTTTTGCCGGAGTGAGAGGAGTGCGGTGAGTAGTGATGAGGATTTTGTAGATGCCATGAATGTGTTTTCTATGCGAAAGAGGTGAAACGATGGTTAGGTGGTGTGAAAAGGAGGGGGAAGGCTTTTTTTTTTTACCACATAGTGAAAGAATAACCGATAAAGAAAGTAAATATCTCTGCATAACTAAAATCTCAATAGTTCGTCCATGACTTTTTCATAAAAAAAAAAACATAAAGAAAAAAAATAAATTAAATACACACAAAACACAAAACGAATTTACCAGATATAATCAAATAACCCAATAACACCATCCCACAACACCGAAATTTCATTCAATTTACTCGTGATTTTTTTTCGTCCGGATGTTGAAAAATTCGCAATAGCCGTTGCGGTTTCATTTAAAGTTTCGAAAAGTTGCGTTGGTTGAGTTCGGTTACCCGTCTTTCAAAAAACCAAATAATTAATATCATACTCCAATGTAGAGTAAAAAACACAATTTTACATCTCCGCTCAACTCCAACGCAGTTTTCGTAATCACCGTCAAAACTTCTAACCGATCCGCAACTGACGCATTTTTCGAAAACGTTTCGGTAATCATCAAACTTAAAATAAACAGTACATCAACAAACATTAACCAAAAAGTATTTTTTAAAAAAAAAAAACACAGCAGTAATACTTTATACAATTAACACAACGCATCAGCAACAAACACAATGCACGTTCTTTCAATTCATCTAAATGCGGTATATCGTAATTATTCTTTAAATCAAGTAGCGTCGTCAACACATCTTCCGAATGGAACTCTTTTTCCATTTACATTTCGCAAAAGAAAAAAAAACAAAAACAACAAAAACCAAATATTAATTTTCACGTCATTTTAAAAACAAAAACAATCCGGTACCGATAATTTTCGAGTCGAGGTTGGTTAGTAATGTGACGAGCGGCGGTAGTGCTTGTTCGATTTTATCCCGGTCTTTGGATTTTATGTTTTCCAGACATTTATCGATATATGTTATACGTTTTGGTTTTAGGTTGTTGCCGGTGTTTAAGGGGACAAGGTCTGCAAGAGAGAAATTTAGGATTTGGGGGAAGATTAAAGGAAAGATAGAATAGATTTACCGTCTTCGACAGGGACTTTGGGTGACTGGTCTTCAACGGAATGTTTTGTAGACTGATCTTTGACGGACTGGTCTTTTGAAGACTGATCTTTGGTCTTCTTCACTTCCTCATTATCCTTCTCCCCACTCTCTTCGAGAGTACCCTCATTGCGACTCAACGATTCCACATCAAACCCTTCCAACTTCTTCAACCGCCTCACCAACACACCATCCTGCACCTCAAACCCCAACTTAAAATCCTTAATCTTCAAATCTCGTCCCACAAACTCCGCCAAAAACATCCCCAACACTCTCACTTCGTACTCTACCGAATCCAAATGATTCGATACGCCCCTAATAAATTCCGGTTTCATCGCGTAAATTTCTAGAGTGGTTGAGTGGTTTGGAAGTGATCGTAGAAGTGAGGGTGTGAGGATGATACATTCGGTAATGTGGATTTGTGATGAGAGTTCAGATTGACAAAATGCGCGTTCGTTCCATATTGAGAATAAAGAGTTTAGGGATTTTGTTAGGCAGTCTGGGTAACTCGATAAAACCGCCAAAAGCAATTTTTGTTGAGGAATTTTCAAGAAATTCGATGGTGAAGTGTACATCCTCTCCGTGAGAAACAAATATATCTGGTTATCTTGCTGCGTCCGTTGATTGATATCTAAAAATTGATCGAATAGGGTTTTTAGTACGTGGATACAGTTTCGTGGACTGGTTTTTTGCGGGAGAGTTGTGAGGACGTGGATGCAGAATTGAGCAGTTTCTTTACGACCGAGGGCGAGGAGGTATTCAGACCAAATTAAAGGACATGATTTCAGTGCGATGAATTGTGGAGAGGATAAAATGTCAGATAATTGAGAGAAGAAGGGAGTTTTTGGATGTATTTTGAGAACTTTTTGCGATAGGAGGGCGATGAACGAAGCAACGTTAAAGACGTTGTAGTCAGGGAGTGGGTTGGGGTTAGCGAAGAAGAAGGCGATTCTGAGCGAGAGGAGGGAGAAGTAGGCGTCTTTGTCGAAGTGCGCGTTGGACAAAAGGATTTTGTCAGGGGCGAGACACAGACCAGTCACGCGCTTGTGCTGCTCGGCGAGAGGCTGGGCGGAGTAGTGCAGCACAAACTCAGACGAGGAAAGAATGGCGTCCACTCGCTGCTGCAGCTCGTCTCCCTTTAGTCCCACGATCTCCATTTGCGTGGAATGGCACCTGTCAACAATGAGTGACAGTGACGATTTTTTCGACAAGAGTATCCTCTCCTTCCTTTCTCCTAGAATCCCCTACTAACCCTCTTTTTTACTACAGGCGACTCTAAACAATCCCTCGCTTCTCTAAAAAAGAAATTCTCCCGCATAAAACGTGTAAAACGAAAAGACTCTTCCTCAACTGACGTATCCAGCAAATTATCGCCTCCTGCTTCTAATAGTCCCGTATTCTCGCCGTAATTATATTCTCCTTAGCTATTATACCTTGCCTTAATTTTTGTTCTCCTCCCACGTTATTTATAGAGTTGCTGAGAAACAAATTCCAGTGGAAATAGACGAAGAAGATTTACCACCATCATATTCTAAACAAAATATTGAAAAACGTGAACTTACGCCTCCACCCACATTCATCTCTGAAGCAGACCTAAAAGCTCTCGAGTACATAAACATTTTCCCAATTCAACTATTTCCTCTTAACTTACTTTTATTTAGAAAACGACTTGAATCAGCAAAGAAGAAAACCGCAGCAAAACCAGCACAACCACCTCAACAACCACTGCAAAAATCAGACAGAAATAACAGCACATCACAAATAGATGCAAATAATTCATCATTCGACGTTGTTGATAAAACTCGCATCGTTGATGGCAGACTCGTTAACCTAGACGATAAAATCAACCTAAAAATCGAATTCAAGTTTTCCCGTGTAGAACTAAAACCCATTAAACTCCAAGTGAAAATCGTAAGCACCAACCATTTCCCTTTTCCGCACATCACACAAAAAACATTCTTATGCCCTCTATCTTTCTCTGAACGTTTTTTTTTTTTTCAGGGTACACCATTCGAAAAAGCATTCACGACACTATCAGACCGCTTAAAACCTCAAAACATCACCCAATTCTACCTTTTATACAAGAACACAAAAATCACAATTTTCACTACACCCTTTTCGATTGGGGTTTATGATGATACCACACTGTTATGTTGTGACCACGCGCACTACGTTTCAACGCAACCAAATATCTCTACTCTCATCGTACCCGACGATCCACAATATCCGCAAACCCTCGACGAAGGTGAGATTCAGGGTGATGGTGAAGATAAAGTATTGCTTCAGTTACAAGCGTCCGCGACTTCAATACTGAAAATCAAAGTTGAAAAAAACAACACGGTGGGAATGTTGGCAGAAAAGTTTTTGAAAAAGAGTGGGGTGAAGGTTGAGGTTGGGATGGTTAGGTTTAGGTTTGATGGTGAGGTTTTGGATCGGAAGAGGAAGTTGAGTGAGTTGGATTTGGTTGATGAGGATTGTTTTGATGTGTTGATTGGGTAATTAATAGGTGTGTGAGGGGGAAGAGATTTTTTTTTGTTTTTATTTTTCTTTTTGTATAATAGAGGAGGTATTTTTTGCTTTAGAGTGCTCTGAATGAGGAATTATTGACTGAGATACAGATGCTCTCGATAAATTTTACAATTCTAAATAATTACGTTTATCTATTACCAAAAGATTATGTAAAACACATCACCCGGTTAGCTCAGTTTGGTAGAGCGTGTGACTTTTAATCACAAGGCCACGAGATCGAGACTCGTACTGGGTGCTTACTATTTTTGTTTTTCTCCTTTAGACATTTTTTTTGTTTCTCGATTTTTAAATCCACTAAAAATTGCTCCGGAACACTTTATCCACCACAAATTCCAAATTGTATATTCAATTTCTCAAAAAATATCCCATTTCTCAAATTTTCGGAAACTTTATACTCTTCGTAACCTGCAACGTCCCGCTAACAGCATAAACCAAACTAAACGGATGAAAAGTCCACCCCATAACCACATACTTTCCAAACGGTAGCGAATCTTCACCCAACATTCCAAACACGTGCAAATAAAAAATCAGCATGGCGATGGCGACTGTAGTTGGGATCGGTGTGCCTTCAAAGAACCGTACGCGACCTGAATCGTCTTTTGATTTTGTGGTTATTGTGTTGTAGTGTGCTAGTCGTGCTACGCCGCTGGTGATGTGATTGTGATTATTTTGGGAGGTGGTGATGGGGTGGGAGGGTTAGAGTAGGGATGAAGAAAAAGTGAGATTTGATGTTACCACTTTAAAAAAAATTTAATGAGGATTTTTTTGTGGTGAATTGGAAATGAAAGTAAAACATACGTTTATAAAGTATAATAAAATCAGTAAATCGAATAGTCCTTGTAACCCAACCGTGAAACTAAAACCAAAAAAATTACATTAGAAACATTTATCCAGATAAAACATATCAGAATTTTCTCGTACCCTAGCACTGCAGGTGCAACTCCAAAACTTGAAAAAAAATAAAATCATCAAACCATAAAAAACACAACAACGAAATAAAACGTAGGATTATGCACCTTATTATATCCGCCAAAGAATCTAATTCTTGACCTAACAGTGAAGAAGTATTATGCCATCTCGCAATCTTTCTACAAATTCCAAAACAAATTTCATATTTTTGCGATGAATTGGAATAAATACGAAAAAAAGTTTAAACAAACCCGTCGAGGATATCAAATATTAAAGCAGCGGGTAAAAGCCAAATCGCGACTTGAAGGTACCAAGCTAAAAAAACCCATTACAAAAGAGATTGAATTGATAATCTTTCATTTTTGAAAAAAAAGGTAGAAGGGATAAAATACAGTTTTGCGTGACGACATATTTCAAACTTGCGAAAATCGATGCACTTCCAGAACTACCATGTTAATCACCCACACAAAAAAAGGAGAAGTTCAAATTAAATAAAAAAAACGTGAACAATTATTTTAATAAAGCACAATACGTACGCAGAGTTTAATAACGTAACAAAATCAGCAGGTAATAACCATCCCATTTTTTTATTATCCGGAAATTTTAAAAAATTCCCACGTTTTTTGTTCTGTCGTCAAAGTCGCTGAGTTTGAAATGGCGAAATTGAAAAGAGCGCTAAAAGCAATTCAAGAAAAAAAGAAACAAGATGTGATTAGAGTTAAAAAAATTATTCAGAAGAATATTTATGCGAATCGTGGTGTGAATTCTGGAATCGTCAAAGTTCAAAATTCTAAAGAGGTTGATGGAGTTGGAATTGAAAAGAAGAATGTTGGAGTTGGTAGGATACAGTCGGAGTTTTTAAAGTTTGATGAGGGGTTGACGTTGTTAGTTGGTGAAGGTAAGTGTTTCAGATATGTGTTTGGACGTTGGGCTAATTTTATTTTTAAATGTTGGTTGGTTGCTGGAAAAAGGGAATTTCAGTTTTGCGAAAGCTTTAGCGATGAAATTACAAACTGGAGAAAATATCATAGCGACGTGTTTAGATAATGAAGAAGAAGTTTTATTGAAATACCCGGACGCGAGTGAACATATTCAAGAATTTCAAGGTTTAATTTTGTGTTTTTTTCTTTACTCGATAATCATAACATTGATTTAATTTTTCTTAAAATCCTTTTTCCAGAAATGGGTGGAACTGTATTCTATAGGTAAAGGAAAAGAACCTAGATTTATCTTTCGTTTTTTCTCTTCCAAAAGTAAACTCTTGAATTTAGCGTCGACGCAACAAAACTACACAACAACCGAAAACTAAAATCAAAGAAATTTTCACGAATAATATTCAATTTCCCTCACGTCGGTAAGTCTCTCTCCCAACCATCCCACCACCCCACTAAGCACCTGAATTTCCAAAAACCCCAGGTTTAGGAATGAAAGACATGCACCGAAACATCCTCTTAAATAAATCACTCATTCAACAATTCTTCCAAAGCACTCTCCACTTTCCTTCCCACCCCAAAATCTTCATCACGTTAAAAGAAGGATCACCATACGACCAATGGGACGTAAAGAAAATCGCTAAAGAGTATGGGTACGTGTGTGAAACGAGTGTGAAATTTGATCCGGTGGAGATGGGGGTTGAAGGGTATACGCATCGACGGACGGTAGGGTTTGAGGAGGGGTTGTCGAAGAGTGGGAATGAGGAGATTCGGAATAGTAGGATGTATTTGTTTCGGAGGGTTGAAGTTGGTGAGGATGAGGGAGTCGGGAAGAAGAGGAGGAAAAAGGACGATGAGAGTGATGATGAAAAATGAATAGAGAAATATTTATTTTTTCTTGATCAAGAATTGTTTTTATTGTGATCTGAAATCTGAAGGGTTTGTAATCGAGGAGAGCTTTAAAATCACAACTTTTTAAATTTGGTGAGATCGAATTTTTGTTTTAAGAAAAAAAAACTGTGGAAACCAATAAACCCAAAAAAGGCAACATTAAAAAACATGAATTCCAAACTTTGGTCTTTGCAACCTCCCACCCCACCCGTCGACCGATGCTCCCGCGCGAAAAAACGAATGCACAAACGACTAGCCGAACAAAAAGAACGAGAACTTCTCGGCCTGACCGAACCAAAAATAGAATCCAAACAATTTACCAAACCGAGTAAATCGCCACATGAAAAAACACCGGAAGAAATTGCAGAGTCTGAGAGGAGGTTTAAGTATCTTGAAAAGCTTATGGATTCTGATGATTTTTCGGATGATAATTTTGAAGACGATTTTGGTTCCAACAAGAGTCGGGGTTGTGATACGTTTGCTCCGGATTTTGATGATGATTTTGGAGTTGGTGAGTATAGTAGTTCCGGTGTTAATTCGAGTCGGTTCGGAAACCTAAAAAATAAATTATTCGAACCGAAATTTACGAGATTCTCCTCCCACAACGCAGACGAAAAAGAAAGTTCGTCGAGTTTGAATAAGACTAGTGTTAATCCGTGGTCGTATAAGAGTAATTTCGGGAACCAAAATGACGAAGTGAAGGAAAGTCTGAATGCGTGGGATTACGAAGAGTGGGATGAAGTGGAATCAAATACCAACGATACGAAATTTGGTTGGATGGAAGATGACGATACGAACGATGAGAATAAAGGGAAAAAGATGTCGAGTCTGGAATATTTTGAAATGTTGTTGGAAGAAGAGAGGAAGAAAGAATTGGGCGATTTCGATGATTTTGAGGATGAGTTTTTGATGTCGGATGCTGATTTGGTAAATTAATTTACATAATTTTATTTGTTTTCTAAATTTATTGGGTTTTTTTATCTGCTTTATTGATTGGGTAGAAACGAGAAAGCGAAAAACTTCGAGAGGAACAAAAGTCTCGAGAACAAGTGACGGGAGAATTAGTTGATGCATTCGACAGATTTATTGTGGATTTAGTAGCGGATGGTGAGAGAATTACAGACGTCTTGATCGCATTAAACCATGTTAGTAACTTGCTTTTCTTGTAACGTAAATGTTCTTAATAACAAATAAATTTTATTTTATTTCAAAGATCACAATGGGAACTGGAAAGCTATCTCTGAGTTCTGATGGAGTTTACTGGACCGGCACAATACTCACGTTCCCACGAACGCTGAAATTTCCATACACCGAAATGACGAATATACACGTAAAGTTTATAAGTGAAGAGTCGCCGCAACTTTTGTTTACGATGTGCGAGACGATTTTCTTGCAGTTTATGACTAAAGATGATGAAAATATCGTTACCCACATCGAGAAGCAATTGTTGGAAAAAAGAACTTTGGTACTGAGAGGTGACGGAAATACGGAAGCTGTGAGAGATTGTATTGATAACGAAAATGAAGCGCTGGTGGATTTAGAGAAAGTTAGCGAACGGAAATTATCGGCGATTTTGGAAAAATTAAAGTAAAAAAGTCAGAAAGATGTTTTGCTTGGCAGTGTATTTATCAATTATTTCGATACAGAGCAACACAGTTGAGATTGGCGAAGGAAAAAGAGGAAGAGGCACGCTTGCTCGAATTGAAATACGAGACACAATTGCAGAAAGCGCAGGAAGAGTATCTCTGTGAGGTTGATGAGATAAAGAGCATGTTGGAGGAGGAAAAGAAGAGCAGAATTTGTGTTTCGGTCGTCACTGCAGTTGATACCTGGAGTGAGTGTAAATTGTGTTATGATAACACTGAAGATCGAGGTAAAACAAATTATTTCCAAATTTTTAATTTTATTTATTAACTATATTTAATTCTAGTGATGCAACCATGTGGACATAGGATATGTTCAAAATGCTTTGAGCGGTTAATCGCGTATGATATGGGAGTTTGCCCTTGGGATCGAATGAAGTTTGAGATTACCAATCTTTAATCAATAAAGACTCATAAGAAATATTGGATATGAATTCTTCGTGTGAGGGTGGTAAAGCAAGCTGATTGGAAACAATTCTCATTTCGACTGAGGAGGGATAAATAATGAGATCACAACCAAATAAGGGATGCTGGGCAGCTCGAGCGGCCATCGACTAATTGGGAAATAAACAAAGGTAAGCGAAAGAAACCGGTATATTTAACAGAGCAACAAGAAGCAAGCTAAATGAACACGATCCAAAAGCCGAATATCAGCGTTTTAACAAACATTCTGCGTGTGGGGGAAGCAAGCAAATTTGATTTCGTTACACAGTTAAATCAGCAGAGAAAAAAAAGAAAAACTAAAAAGACTGGGCGCGTTTTTAATTTCTCATCAGTCATAATTATCTTTCGTTAGCTTCTGTTCCATTCATGGCTAAAACTCAGTCAATTCTCCCGGCTAACATCTCTCCTTACTCTAT